TAAAGGCTCTCTACTTGAACATAACTGGTAGAGTGAGAGCTTATGGCGAACTGTCATCAGAATTGATTACCTCAAGTGGTGTTCGTCAGGGCTGTCCACTCTCTCCATTCTTGTTAAACTTTGTCAATGACGTACTTTTAGAGATAACACTCTCCTCATCTAAATTTCCAGGGGTTGAACTTGTACCGGGAGGTTCACTTGTTGACTTAGAATATGCTGATGACATAGTTTTATTTAGCGAAGACGCTGACAAAATGCAGAGTCTTTTGACCACTCTAAGCAACAATGCAAGCATGTTTGAGATGCGATTCTCTCCCTCGAAATGCAAAATGTTGCTTCAGGATTGGGTTACATCGACACCCGAACTAATGATAGGGAGTGAAATAATTGAGCGTGTCGACCGCTTCACTTATCTTGGAAGTCTCATCAGCCCTTTTGGTTTAGTGTGTGACGAAATCTCAGCACGGATACAGAAGGCTCGACTAGCTTTTACCAACTTGCGTCATTTATGGCGTAGGCGAGGTATCCGTCTATCAAGCAAAGGACGTTCGTTCCGTCCTACTCTATGACAGTGAAACATGGCCGGAAAGAGTAGATGATATTCGTAGGTTACTAGTATTCGATCATAGGTGTCTTCGAAATATTGTTCGTATATCCTGGGACCATCGAGTTAGTAACGCAGTTGTTAGGAAACGCGTACTAGGTAAGGATGGCGAATCCATTGATGAAGTAGTGAAACTTCATCAGTTGAGATGGCTGGGACACGTGTTACGTATGCCCAACGACCGACTGCCTCGACGTGCGATGTTCAGTGGTATAGGAGTAGGTTGGAAGAAAGCTAGGGGCGGCCAGACCAAAACATAGCACAAGTCCATGGAGTCACTGACAAGTGGTCTGAGTCATGTCGGTAGGTGTAGACTACCTGGTTGAGGACCGCGAGATGATAGCAACCGATGGTTAGAGACCCTGAATGACATGGCTCAAAATCGTTTGCAATGGCGCAGGTGGATCCACTCTTTGTGTTCTCCCAAATTTTGATCTCCTTATTCCTCCTTGTCTCTTTTTTTTCTCCTCTCAAATTTATTTCACTGTATTATGCTCTTTAAGTTACATCTCCAAACCCTAATCTTCCCGATTACTACTTATACTCTTATTACCTCTACCACTACGGGATTTGAATCGACCACTGCATCTCTGTGCTAATGTGGTGTGGCAACTCGAACTGATGTACATACGTACGGAGTTCTACGTTGTTACTGACTGACTGACTGACTGATAGTTTGAAACAAAAAAACAAATAAACAACACAATTGTTCATTTGTACAAACAAAACAAAACAAAACCAAATAGAGATTATCACTTAGATTTATTCAACTCTGATTAAACGCTGAAGGATCAATAAAAACATGAAGCGATTTCAGTCACTTTTGGGCAACTAAACATTAATTTCATATTCAAAATGTAACAAACAGAATCTTACTTACTTACTTACTTACTTACTTACTTACTTACTTACTTACTTACTTACTTACTTACTTACTTACTTACTTACTTTGCTTTACTTTAATTACGTACTTACTTTGCTTCACTTTACTTACTTACTTGGTTATTTTTGGCAATGTAATGAATAGATGTATTTCTTAAAAATTAAATTACGGTGAAACTATGATTTATAGACAACTTTCGAATGACTCTAAACTAACTTTGAGAATGTTCACCCACTAAGTAAGACTAAATGATGGTTATAAAGCAATATGAGGGAGTAGAATTATGATTTATAGTTGATGGTTAAGGTTAGAAATCAGATTTAGGATTTTTATCACGAACTGATATCAGCTATTATGCCAAAACTCTATTCAGCCGAATGGATGAGTGAATTTCGCACCAAAATCCAAGACCTCTTATCTTATAACTGATTTGTTTGTCCATAAATTATAGTCTCGCCAAAAACTGTTTCTTACAGAATATTACTGCATTTGGACAACTAGTACGGATAAGCAATATTATATCTAAAGATTTCATTTTTCTGAAGTCTTTTGAAATTCCTCAATGTTTCTGTCCATCCATGACAATTAAATAATTAAGCACTCCTGTTTTTCTTTCTGAAAAATGTATATCATTGTGATTGCCGTAGACATTTGTCGTAGACTGATAAAAACCCCATACTAATAATTACCATGTGCTCACTATTGATTGGCCTTGTGAAGAGCCTAGACTAGTGGAGCTAGTCCGTGTCGGGTAGAGACGGGTATCTACCTCAGTACAATGGAAGATGGTCGCGCAATTCCGTGGATTGATTGAAGTTAGACATCTATATTCCTGACTTACGTTATATACTACTTATGTCGATAAAAGTAGCACACCGCACTATGATCTAATTAAATTATGATTTAAGTTAAATAGCTTAACACAGTTGATATTGTGTGACTGACGGCAATGAGCATAGGTGTACCGGCAGTTGTGTAGTGAGCAGAACGCAAGTGGGGACAACCGAATGTAT